TGTGTGTGTGTGTGTGTCTGCTACACATTAGCTACAATCTAATACCTAAACATGTACCTCATCTGTACCTACATATTTCTAGAGCCTGTGGGTTGTGAGACACCACCATTTCTTACAGATGGAGACCTCAAGTACACAGTAAAAAGTAATTACAGCAATAATGAAAGAGTTGAATACATGTGTCAAAGCTTCTACACCATGGAGGGAGAGCCTTACAGAACCTGTATCAATGGAGAATGGACCGGACATATGAGATGCCTCAGTAAGTTACCGTTCTCCCTGTACTTAATATTCATACGGCATTCTGTGCAATTATTTTTTATAGTGAAAATAAAAGTAAATAAAAGTCCATTTACCCACTACTAATTTGCTGCATGTTTTGCAGGTAACATAATGTCTGCCTGGATTATGCTTATTGACAAAAAAAAAAGTGTTATCCTTTGACTCTGGATTAGGGTTTCTAAGTAGGTTTTCACATAGAGTATGCCTTGGTGTATTGGGGCATAACAATAAACAGAAAATGGGTGTCTTGGGCCTTGTTGCCAGCAGCAGATGGGAAATGTTTTTTCTTGTGACGTGATGTTTTGGTCCAGGATGGGCCTATGATTAATGGATTTTTTCACAGCAGGGAAGTAAGCACCAAGTTTGACCCACAAACTACAGTGCAGTTGACCAATAGCAAGCCATCTTGACAGCGCTGACTTTGTGCTTGAGCGCACCACAAATCCTATTGTAAAAAGATATATATATTCTCACACCTGAACACAAAAAGAATCCCTCTGCAGCTTGCAAGAGCACAACTTACATTATGCTCCTTCACGTTACCCTCTCTTAAAATCTGTAGACAAATAACATGCACAGAGATGAACAGGCAAATGAATTATGCTAAAAGTCTTTCTAGGAAGTTCTCCAGAAAGTGGGTTTAGTGAGATGAGGGAAATACAGAACAAATACCATGGTAACTGACTCTGTGAACTTAGCATTTGGCAGTTTTTCTTCATGAAGCCCTGAGTTTCTCTCCCTGTCTCTTGAGAAACTCATCAAAATTGATCTATTCTAGTTAATGTAACGTTCACCTGACCAAAAGACGCGACCCTCTCTCACATGCTGCTGTGAGCCGTCCGATCATTTCCGGTTTCCGGTGCTTAATGTACTGGTAGCAGATTTTTGCTGTTTAGCTCAACCCAGTTAATATTGTTAAATTCTTCATGGCTAATTAGCCCCACTATACATTTAAACTTTACAATAGTTCTGCTCAAGCACCACTCATAGCGCTCTCCTTCTAGAACTTTCTTGATAATCCCACAGTTGTTTGCATGCTATTTCGTTCAACATTGCGATAAAGCACAAAAGGGTAAAAGGCCCAGTACAGAGGAAATAGAAAGAAGTTCGGATAGTTATGTGACTGACTTGTGATGGCCCTGCTGGCTGGAGTGTTAGCAATTAGTTATTAGCACCAAGCTTCTTGATCCAAATATTGCATAAAACATACAGATTGATTTTATTGTGCCACTTCTTCTTATATAAAAGAAAATAAAAAAGCAAATTCAGAACACATTGTCAATTAGACAACACGTGCAGCTTTTAGAAAATACAATGGAAATACAGGCAAAACAACATATTACAGAAAAGCTCTGCCAATTTGGGAAGGAAAAAAACTAACATTGTTTCCTAGCAAATACAAAAACAAATATAAGCCGATGTTATATCATTATCATTGTAATGCTTGGCCTACTGTATTCTATACCGATTCTAGATTCTAGATTTCTAGAATAATAATGCCTTTGATTATTATGAAGGCTACAGGTCTTTCATCACTGGTGAACCGGGTAGTAAAGTTTAATATCTGTCATAAACACTAAATCACTGTTCTGCAAGCTCTTGTGTTGTCTGTATTGGCAGCATGTTTTCTAAATGCTGCACGTGTTGTCAAAGTGATAATGATGTTTCTGAATTTGCACGTTTTCCTAAATTGCAGTGCATTGAGCTCTTAGGGCCACTATATTTTTAGGTTAATAAAACACTTAATTTTAGGAAAGGATTGTGGTTATATACAGTAACGTGTTAAAAAAGTCACAACTGCCGCCCAACACCAGCAAACGTTTTGCATGTAATGTTATTTCTCCATTGTCTCCTGCAGAACCGTGTGTTGTGAATGAAGACGACTTTAGACAACATAACATCACTTTAAAATCCAGTGACAATAAATATTTCACTCATGATGAAATAATTGAGTTCAGGTGTGCCAGAGGAACTCCTGTCGGTGCAGCGGCCATGCGTCAGAGGTGTAATGGCGGTGTGGTTCTCCTGCCTACTTGCCAGTGAGACACTGAAAAATACAGAGGAAATAGTTCAACTTGTATTTACATACAATTATGTGGGACCCAGGAAGATTAGTTTGTACCTTGCTAGCAGCTAATGGGGATCCAAATAAATGTATAGATTGCAAAAAAAAGTATTGGTCTTCCATCTCCACTTTAATGTTGACTATGGAAGTTTTTTGAGTAAAACTCACCATTTTGTTTTGCACATAGCTCAGTACATTTATCATTACATAAATGATTGTATGCTGTTCATTCGGTTCTATTTTCATTTCTAATTTCTTAATATCAAATTGTTTAAATATGTTATTACTCTGGAGAAAAGCAAGAAATATATGAAAAGTTTGTTTTATAGCAGTTTCCATTGATTAATTATATTATATAATTATGATAAGACGGTGTACCAAAATGAAAGTAGACAAAATTAGGGACTTGGTATAGCTGCTAATGTATGCTGAAATTAAAGTTAATCTGACCTGAAAGACCACAGTCTCATGATATGGCCAACTTTGTTCGGGTTGACTACCTCAGAAATCTCACAAGGTTAATTTAGTAGCTGCTCTGGAGTTTTCAAATATCACATGATCTTTATCAACACATGGATTTGTCATGGAATTGCAGATATTCAAATGTTACATTTTTTTAATATTTATAAATGCATATGTTTACTTAAGTATCGGTTCTTGCTAATTTAGAGACAAAGATGACACAACCGCCATCTTTGCCTAACTTAGCTTAGCATAGACTAGAAACGAGGAAACAGCAGCACTGTGTACGACATAATGCAACATATAATTGCATTCAGATATTATTATTCAGCCCATTATGAAGCAATTGAGTTCAAGGGTACCAAAGGAAGAGCCATTGGATCACTGCGTTCCAAGTGCAATAATAGTGTGTGATGCACGTGCCAATGGAATCCAAGGTCACACTAACTTGACAGCAAGGTAGCCTTAAATTATACCCTGGTTTATCATGTTTTACTTTAAATGGGACAATAATTTACAAAATGCACATCATTCTGTACTGAAAAGGACTTGAAACTAAGGGTTGAGACCATAAATTCATTAGAAAAAGGATTTCTGGAGTAATAACTCAAGTGAATAGGCTCCATTTCCACTTCTTGCAAACTGTTGAGTTGCCCCCTATAGGCAATTGGAGAGAATGTAGCTTTAAAGCAATTCCACACTGGCTTCACTTTTTATAAACGAGGACCTGTCCAATGTTTATACAATCTATGATTAACACAATAGAAATATATATGAAACTGGCCCATGTTTAAGAAACAAATCCATTTAATATATACATGAAAATATGGAAATGTGTTGAAAAAAAACAATACAACAATACATATAACAATATTTTCTGAAGGAAAAAAAAATGAGATGACAAATCACGATTTAAAAGCTTGTCTATTTACAACACAATGGAGAGTGTGTTTGCCACCATTTGAATGGCCCGGAGAGGGTCCACAACATCATTAAGCTTGTCTTTTCTGAGAACCCAATCCGGTGCAAACCTGAAAATCAAAAACAGGATGTCAATCACCACTGCAGACACATACTATGTATAGAATACACATACTGTTCTGGATTAACACAAAGTACTGGAAAAATGCATACATATACATACTTTGGCACAGGGCGGGATTTACGAGGCGTTGCTTGGAGAAAGAAGCTTCCGTTGATTGAAGCGCTCATTTTCTGTTTGACAACAGTTCTTTCTGCGTCCATCTTCTGTTTGCGAGCAGTGAGGCGGTAAATACTGCGAATACGATCCAAGACCTTGGGTAGCTTCATGACCTCCTAAAAAAAATTTAAAAAATGCTTGGATTATATATACACATATTTATAACTACAATAGCCACTTCCTGTAAAATTTGAATTTGATATATCCATTTAATCTTCTTAAAAGTACTGGAAAACTGTATTCCAAAAGTCTGTATGGTATATTAGCTACGAACCACAGCACGATGATTGTCTTGCAGGAGGAGAGCAAGAAGGAAGCAGGCTTTGGTGAAGATGCTGCCACCCTTTTCTGCCACTTTGTCTCCTGCCTTCTCCCGGTATCTCTGCAGCAGGTCAAGCAGTGTTTCCACAGAGTTTTCCACCGTATACACTGCCTCAATGGTCTTGTAGTACTGCGGGAGGAAACCAAGCGGGAGTGAGTGGAGGAAAGGGAAAGAAAGCAAAGAGTGAATATGGTACAAACATGGACCAAGAATCAATTAACTGCTTGTCCAGACAAAACCGGGGAATAAAGATTTGAGACTTCCCAAAAGCAGTCTTCTTAACCACTTTGGTCCAAAATTAAGTATTTCAATAACTACTGGATGCAGATATTCATGGTCCCCAGGACAACCTTGATGTTTTGTCCCTAAAGCTTTTGGTTGGATCGCAATGTAATTTGGTTCTCACATCCGTGTCCCCCACAAGATGAATTATAATAATTTAGAACTGTTGAAGATATTTGAAAGACTCAAGATTTCAGTTAATTAACAGCCAGGAAAGAAGCAACCCCCCACAAAACTAGACATAAAGATTGAGGCTACATGATTCATGTCAACAAGTATTACAACAGTCTGCTTTGTGAACTTTGATTGCTTGACTTGCAAAATAATCAAAGTAAACAAATCAAAAAAATAAACATTGTGCAATTTTTACCTCAACCCAGAAAAACACACACACACACACACACACACACAAAAGTTGTCCTCTCTGAGCTGTTAGCTTGGCTACAACAGCAGAACCAGCCATGAATTTGCACATCAGCTATCTGTCAATCACTCCGATTGGTGTCAAGGCCATGCCCTCTAAAGTGACTGTCCTTTGCAGGTCTCTGATGTATTTTTAACATTTGCTGAGAGCAAGGGAACTAGCAGAACTGAAGGGTGTAGGTACACTTTAAATGTTTGGAGCGTTTACCCCGTCACAATGATTAGGCGGTTCAGCTCTACCAAACAGCAGCTGAAGGCTCTGCAAAGCATCTGCATGTTGTGGACGATCAC